GTAAAGCCGTTTAAGTCATACTCCGTGAATAAAATGCGTAACAACGCGGGTTTACAGGGGAAACATACAAATGACCGCCGGTAACCCCGAATTCGAACACACGTTCTATTCGAATGACGTCATATCGAACATGGTGGAACATGATTCGGGTTCGAAACATGTTTGTGGCAATCGTGCAGACACACGGCGGAACTCGAACATGAATATCAGCCTAGGCCGCCTTAACCCAACCGAGTCTGCACAAATGGGAAAACTGGTCATTAAATACAAGCGTAGTCATATGCAACATGGAAGTCATGAATATCATATGCTCAATCAGATGTATGAATCCTATTTTTCAGCTAAAGTTATCGTGAACGTGGACTGCCATCAGGACCACATGACTGTGACCTTCCCTAGAGCAGCGCTATCAGGGGCAGATGTGGACAACATGCACCTGCTGAACGACAGCTGCCGGGCGACATATACCGAGACGGAGGTGACTCTTCGGACCGGTCTGCAGGAGTGCGGGACGATCCAGGAAGTAAGATGACGTCTGGAATGTAGAAAACGGTCACAGGAAAAAACTGTGGGATTGTTTTTTAAGTGCCAAGGTTGCCCATGTAACTGAAATGTCTGTTTTAGTAAGATTCTGTGCATCTCTTCTTGTTTTCACAGTCATCAGGAGGAAAAATCATCTTCAGTAACGAGGCCTTCGGCAATCCGGTAGAGCAAGATAACGGCGCTGTGAGAGGAGCAACCTTAAGGAAGAGGTTCCAGTGTGAGTTCGTCAGTCAGTTTGTTGTCTCACAGGAAAGGAACATCCTCTTCAACATCCCGCCTCCTCGGTAAGTGTTGTTAGATCTAGACATGTGACTACATGCACAACTGCGCCACAACTGGGAACAAGGACCAATGAACTAAAGGGGTGACGCGGGTCGAAGGGCATGCGCACAAGTTGCTGGGTGAGAGACCCCAAAATTAAAATGAGCTAAAGAGCTTTAAAACCCTTTCTTGGGTGGGATTTTTGTTGAATTCTTGGCATTTTTGTGGTGGATTGTACTGTGTAGGGTTGTGAGTGAATGTTTTTGCAAAAAAATGAAGTTTTTTTCATGAAATTGCCTTGTTATGGGCTTGTTTGTTGCCATACACCCCTCCTGCATCCTGCCTTGGTATCGACCTAGAATATGGGGTCAAAGTGCACGGATTCTTATAAACAAGGCTGTACCTCGAGACTAGCCGTCCACTTTTTTCCGAAACTTGTTGTAGGTACATATTATTAAATTGGCTAACACGTGAAGGTGAGTTTGTGTGACAGAAACTTCGTAAACTAGAGATATGATGCCCATTTTCATGTCTGATTTAGCATATGTTTCAATGGAGAACCCTTTCAATGGTGTCACCCCTATAGGAATCTTGTATCCGCTCAAAATAAACCCAAGGCATCGCTAACAAACAGATAATCCAAAATAGCGCTAAATTTTCTACGAGTTCAACAGCATTGATTAAATCTCATGGGATCCTGTTTACATTCACTCCGAATGTTTAATTAGCATAGAGAAATATTTTCTCATCGGTGTTTGTCTAATTACCCACATGGTTGTCTATCTGTACAGAGTGGAGGTGGAGAACGCGGAAAACCAGTTCACCTTCGAGATGCATATGTTTACATCTCCAGACTTCGTCAGGACCTACAACTCACCCGATTACCCTGTGCAGGTGAGCTACTTACTCTCTTACCACCTTATTACTGAGACATATGCTTGTCAATCTACATGTCTTTAGTATGGGAAAACCACGTTCCCAACTAGCTGTCACTGTCTCCAAGCTGGGTTAGTTGAAAATAGTAGAAATTGACCTAAAAATGTAACTAGCCAGGTGAGTGAACCGACCATAGAGAACCAAATTCGGACCCTCTATAGTCGGCTAACTCCCCTGGTCAGTTAATTTACCTGTAAGGCCGAGATCTACCATTTATTCAGTTTACAAAGGAGTCTGCTGGAGACTAGGTAAATATCGTTTCAGTTAAGATTGCCATGCATGTATGTTGTAATACAATAATTACATGCTCCACTTTCCTTTCCTTATTTCCGACATCAGGTGACCCCGTCTGACCAGCTGAATTTCGGACTGAGCGTGAACTCACCTCTGGACAACCTGGAGCTGCTCGCCCTCCACTACCTCGCCACGCCGAGTACCGACCCTGACGACTCTCCGAGCGTCAGCATCATTCAAGACGGGTACGTTTTTTTTTTCACATCACTTCTTAACATCAAAAGTACCAAGTGTTACGAGTCGGGGACAGCCAGGGCCAAGGTTTTAACCTTATAGACATACTTCCTAGTTTAAATGCATCCAATGCAATTTCAGGGCGACAACACAAAGCAAAAATATTATGGTATGTCTGATATTGATATCGTAGCACAACTTTATCATTATTACATACTTGAAGCTCGTAGCCCCAAAAAGTGAGGCGTCTCTTTTTGGTAACGCCCAAAAATAGCTAGAACCAGCCTACGATACAAAACAAGCAACCGTCAGGGACATTGCATTTAAAGAATGACCAGATAGTTGATATTCTAAATCCAAATTTAGCATCATGAAATTCCATTGGACAACTTAAAAACCAGTTAAGAGCCTGCTGTTGTATAATTGGTCAGGAAATCATCATATGAGACATTCATAGTCATTTCTCTCCTTTAGGTGCGACATCGACACAACGCTTCAGTTAAACACTGACCTGTCTAACGACATGGCCTTGTACTACTCCATCCAATCATTCACCTTCCCCAACGTTGTCGATCCCAGCCTGGTAAAATAAACCAACATGTGAAAACTTTGGTCTGGTGTTGGGCTGTGTTAACTGTCAGCTTGAAGTTCATTTACATGCTTTAAGGTGATGGTCCCGTAGATTTGTTTTAAACAGTGCGCTGCGCAATGCATATTCTTCCAGTATCTCGATTATCATAAGGTTTGAATTTGCTATCTATCTATCTACCTATGTACATCAGGTTCTGACACACGGTGAATACAGAGATCTCTCTCCAGGATGTCCTATTTTCAGTATAAGACTCCAAGTGTCTCAATGACTTGGTCCTCCCACTTTCATCTTAAGATTCAAGCGAGCAAAATTGTTTCTATATGACAGGGTTATGAATGAAATTAGCATAATTCCAGGATTTGGCTTCTTCACCTCTGTAGAAGCTTCGGCATCTATATGTCTCTATTTCGGTGCTCTCCAGAAGGATCTTTTGTACTAACTGAATATTGTGACTGCTTCTCGGTATTTGGATACCTTGAACAGCAATGGCGGTGCACCTGATTAATGTAGATTCTGTCCTTCCTCCATGTCAGGTGTACATCCACTGCACCATGGTGGTCTGCTTCAAGGACGACCCGGACTCGCGGTGCAGTGAGGGGTGTACCCCCGCTAGGCGGCGCAGGCGCGCTGTGTCTGACATGAGCGAGGCCGGAGTGCTTCGTGCAGGTGTAAGGGACCAAACAGCCCACATCATACAGGGACCTTTCCATGTTAAGAGTGGAAAAAACCAAGGTAGAGTTTGTATAATTAGAAGGTACCAAATAGTTAACTCTCACATCGGGTTTTCTCTACCACTTGTTTGTCTTTCTCATGGCGACGTCTCAGGGCTGGGGAGGAGCCTAATGGTACAGTATTGTGTGCAGTTTGCAAGAATTCTAGGAATGGTACAGGCATTTTCTCCACAGGAATGGAATGTCCACAGGTATGTCTCTGATCCACATCTATACCCACATTCCGCACATCTATGCCCACAACCCAGGGGAGGAGAGGCATTTTGTCCACAGGCATTTCTCTGACCCACATCTATGCCCTCATTCCCGAAAACCCTTGGGAAGACCTCTCTGCCACGGATGGCCCTACTTTCTGTGACCCCGGGGGTCGTTCACTATACACAAGGGGAGGAGTGCACTGTATCTGTCTTCCTCAAAATCATAAAATGATGGCAGTGCCATGCAAACAATAGCCCTAACAGCAACCACCGTCGCCATGGCCATGTTGCATGTATGTTTTCATTGCCAGTCTTGTTTCCTTTTAACAACAATGAAACGACATCCCAAGAGTAAGGCCATTCAAAACGTGTCCCTCGTATAGTTTTTTCCATCATAGTAAAAAAAAATCATGCTTGAAGCTATAACTTTTTCTTGTGTTTACCGTATTCAATTATTTATGTTGAGAGCTGTTGCATGTTAACATTTGCAAGCTTTTGTTCATACATGTTCGAACAGACCTACGGTTCTGTATGTCCACTGATGCTGCACACTGGTGTACAGTCAAGGGAGTAGACAGCATGAACATGACGTCTCTGTAATAAAAAATAAACTGTTCCCCAACTAAAAAAGAATTAGACTCAAAGAAATTTCCGACAGAATCTCTCGGCCTCCATAAGATATCTGTTCTAATTGTTGTAAACGCGTGATTTTTCCCCACGTGTGACGTCAGCGCTGGGTCAAATTTCATCGGAAGTCGGTACCGCCCGATCAAATTCTCTTTGAGTTAGAGAACAGTCTAATTTTCATCACCTTACGAACTTTAAGGAACTACGAACCTTAGTGTCAATGATGTCTCTGTGCTGTTCCACAGCCTCCACTCTGTCCACTGTCGGCATCGCTGTCGGGACAGCTGCAGGGATAGCTGGCGTTCTCCTGTTGGCTGTTGCTGTCTTCCTGGTGAGGAAGAAACGTGGTCGTGACGTCAAGAAACAGGCAAAGGATCGTGTCGGTAAGATGTACAGAACTTGGTAGTATATATTATAATCTAAAACCGGGAGGTCCATATTTGAGTTTGACCTTTGCCTTGTTCGTTTGTTTTGTAAATCCGTGACCCCGCCCTAAACCCTCGACCTTCTTGAAAAGCGGTCATATGACCGAACAAGCATATCGAGAATAAAGAATGGCTTACTACTACTACTACTACTACTACTATTTCTACTACTGCTACTAATACTTTTAAGCCACATACCAAATATCATCACGATTCCTAATGGCCTTTTTAAGTTATTTTGACCACAAAAATGAGGAAACAAGCACACAGAGACTAACCCAAAACAATACCTCTATTCATGTAGTAAGTCAGCATTAAAGCTGGTGAGAATGAGCCATGTGTAACTTTCAATGCCCAGTGTGTATTTCGTTGTATTCGTGACGTCATTTAGCAACGGATTTTAATATCAGCATAGCCACCGATCATTAAAAAACTATATCATACTAGTTATATAAGTTCTTTACTCTAATTGGACACGGTTTTTCCATTTCAGGTTTTGACAACTACTCGTTCGAGCTCTGGAGGAAGGGCAAGGCTGACAACGCGACTCCCAAACCCGAGTAGTCTTGTTTTGTGTAAGGCTTGAACTTTCGGCATGAGCGATGTTCTTGTAAGAAACCAGGTCTCTCTCCTTCTTTGAATCTCCTTCCCTCTATCTGTTTCCCTCTCTCTCTTTCCTCTTCTACTCTCTTGTACTATCTATCCCCGTCCCTCCCTCTCTCTAACTCGTTCTTTCTGCTCATATCTTTGACCATGTCTCTTTGTTATCGTTCTGACTCCCTCCCTCCCCCTCCATACCTCCCTCCATACATGTACCTCCCTCCATACCTCCCTCCATACCTCCATACCTCCCTCCATACCTCCATACCTCCCTCCATACCTCCATACCTCCATACCTCCCTCCATACCTCCATACCTCCCTCCATACCTCCATACCTCCCTCCATACCTCCATACCTCCTCCATACCTCCCTCCATATACCTCCATACCTCCCTCCATACCTCCATACCTCCCTCCATACCTCCCTCCATACCTCCCTCCATACCTCCATACCTCCCTCCATACATCCCTCCATACCTACCTACCTCCCTACCTACCTACATATCTATTCAGTTTTTTTTTAATATTCACATATAAGCATATGTAATCATGGTGAAAGCTGACAACACTCAGAAAAGTGATTTTGAGGGGAAGTCACTTCACAAAACGTAACACATTTCGTTCGGATTAAGAAGAATAAACTGACGAATATTTGAAATCATAGCACAGTAATGCCATATAACAAATTGGGCAAATTTTGGATTTTTTAAAGGACCAAATTTATAGTACCATTAGTCAGTCAATATTTCTGTGATGTTCTATTATTTGACACCAAAAGAAGAAATGTTAACACAAGCACAAAAAAAAACGTCAGCTAAAAAAAATGCCGGTTAAGGGAGCTTCCTGGTACCATTACTGCCCCCACAATGTCACAAATATGACGGCCGACATGTCCAACCTGTTAGGATCAAACATCTGAGTTCTGTGGAAACATTTAGAAAGGCGTATCGATCAAGTATGAAATTTCATCTGAATTGGTAAATTACATAATGAGAAATAAACTATACTGAAACAAAACATTTTCTCATCTGACACGGGGGTGGTAACAACTTTCAACGAACTTTGACCCAGTGCTTATAAAGTCACGCGTAGCAAAACTCACGTGTCTTCAAAGCTTGGGATAGATAGATAATAAAGACCTAAAGACCGTTCCGAAAACATGGGAGATTCAGTTTTTTTTCTGTTGGAGATGATCAGTTTTTTCTCATTTTGGTTATCAAGTGCTTGAGTTCGACATGGTAGCCGTTATATTTGCAATTGACAACCGTCAGATTCAGCAGCAAGTAAGAAGATCAAAATGTAGAAGATTGGAAATGATGAAAGTGTAGTGAGGCTGGTTGTCAAACATTGTGGAATAATTGAATATCAATTGCTCTTAATTAAGATGTATGCAGATAGCTAGCGAGCCTGTATAGTCATAGGTTAATATTAACTTTGTCATCTTCTATCTTAAAGGCGAGCGGAATACTGTTCTGAATCTAAGGCTATAAAATGTAGACTTGTAGTGAATTACCTTACTGTTCATGCAGTGATATAACCAATAACGTCTTGTGACATTTTGACTAGATATTGCTTACATACTAGTCTATAAGGAGCGTTGCTAGTTGACAAGACGACATGACGTTGCAAATAGACATGTTGCTACACTTTTATTGACATTTACTGAATAGTGAGATTGAGATAGTATCTGCCTACTTCCAGTAACTTGTAACCAACAATGTGCATGGTGTTGTAGTTATAGGGAAAATGTAATCTAGAATTTAACATATAGTTGTGCTGCGGACTGTTGTGTCAGGTATTGTGAGATATCCACAGATATCTCTAATTTACGATTCAGTAGCTGAGCTAACATCATTTACTAACCGGGAGAAGTCATCTTTTAGTTACGTATAATCGTGTCTGTGCATTTGCTTTTAAAGCTTTTCAATATATCTGCGATGCAGTTTTGGTACCACACACACGTGTTTGTCATCTTTGTGTCTTTGATGGGATCACTGGTGAAGAGATCATTAGAAGAACAATGGATAAAAGACAGGTCAAGCGCTGAGTTGGCAGAAAATGGCAGAATTTACCCATACTGCTTTAAGACGTATACAGTTATTCGACAAAAGCGGGATAGAAGATACATAACAACATGCACACACACACACACACACACACACACACGCACAAACACAAAGAAAAAGCAGACACAGACACAAAGACAGACGCACACACAAAGACACACACACACACATATCTACAAAGACACAAACCTACAGACAGACACACACACACACTAAAACAGAGGGACATGCACACACAGGCAGACAGAAATACAGACAAGCAAAAAGCAATACCCCATTTCCTTGCGCTGAAAATCTTGTCTTCAGAGCCACTACGAAACACGTGCACTGTTGTTTACAAGCCGGTTCAGTCAGCCAGAAACTCCCTGGTTAACAGCTGGGCCCGATGCCAAGTCAGTGCTGATGACCTACGATTCGCTAATGTCAGTTGGGTGAAAAGATATATCACCCCCTTTAACAATTTTACCCTGAAGTTTTGAAATCAGATTAATAGTAATCCGTTTAGTTCGAACATGTGTAGTTTGGTCCGCTTGGCTGTGTCTCTCCCTAGATCAGATAAACACGGTAAAAACTCAGTATAAAAACTAACGCGTCTTCGTCATCCAGCAACACAGATAACCTTGAGGGAACATGGCGGCAAATGACCTTCAAACGAACTTGACCTTGAATTTTTTTCGTTTATACGATGAAACTAGTCAAGATGTGAAACTTGGCCAAATTTTATCCCACAAATCCCAGCGGTTGCTGAGATTTCGGCAACTTTGCACTTCGGCATCTGTCGTAGGGCTAGGTCCCGTACAAGGCCCTAATGACGGGCCATTTAATGGTCTTCTTATCAGGTCAAATTTACTATTCCAGCCGACTTTTTCTGGCTAGCGGGTATCATTGTTGTATCCTCTCACGTTCAGAGTGACTTATAGTTAGTATAAGCCGTTTTTACGGCAGAAAAAGGGGGGGGGTACGCGTTCTCTGGCCAGTGGGGAACTCCCATAGTAAAGCATAGGGGACGGTCCTTATGGCCGTTGCCATGGCAACGGAGGTCTGACGGTGAAATAAACTGGTGTATTTTACCTGAACCGACGTCAGTACCAGATATAATAAGCAAATTTCACCGAATTTGACACGGTTAATTAATTCCCGTGGGGGTTCAAGGCGGCACAACACAGTATTATCCCTATGGGGATTTCTATAGTTAAGGACCCCAAAGTGACTCACTTCGACTCACTGAAAATCATAGTAGGGTGCACAAGCAAGGTTCAAAATTTTGATTATGTTTAATTTCAGGGTATAGTGTACAAAATATGTGAAAATGAGCTTAGATTTGCCGGCTAGTTCTTTTTTCATGCCCTCTTTTATTAGCGCCACTGCGGAGGTCATGGAACTGCAGCCGACGCACAGTACTAGGCGGGACAAGTATCCAAGCGCAAATCTACGCCGACTGAACACGCACCATAATTCAACTTTTACAGTCTCAAAACTGACGTATTCCTCTAACATTTAACACAGGTTCTATCTCGATACCATGCACAGCATAATCTCAGCACCCTTCTCTAGTATTGTGCAGCACTACTTTATGCCCGGACTACTTTTGACTACGGGGTTCGCCCATAAATACTGTGTTGTGCGGCCTTAAATTTTGTGCCAAATTTTGAGAAACTGGTTTTCTGCTGGTGCATTATTCAGTGATGCCATCTAGCGGTTCTTAGTAGTAGCCCAGGATCAGGTCTGGACAGGCACTAGGACCATGAGGTAGTGTGTATTGTGTCTGTCATCCTATATAACAGCAACAACGAAAATTTTGCTCGATTTTCTCAGTTTCCCAGCACCTTTAGAAATCCACTACCAAGAACTGTATAACTGTCACTGTAACAAAAAAAGTACTCGTAGGCCTGTTTCCGATGCTGCAAAGGTCACTAAATTCATCAACTTATTTTTAAAGGTTTTAGTCTAAGAGCCTGTTAATGATCATCTTGTCTTCGGAGCCCCTAAGAAACACGCGCACAGTTGTTTACAAGCCGGTTCAGTCAGCCAGAAACTCCCTGGTTAACAGCTGGGCCCGATGCCAAGTCAGTGCTGATGACCTACGATTCGCTAATGTCAGTTGGGTGAAAAGATATATCACCCCCTTTAACAATTTGACCCTGACGTTTGGAAATCAGATTAATAGTGGCCTGTTTAGTTTGAACATGTACAGTTTGGTCTGCTTGACTGTGTCTGTCCTTAGATCTGATAAACACGGTAAAAACTCAGTATAAAATCTAACGCGTCTTCGTCATCCAGCAACACAGATGACCTTAAGGGAACATGGCGGCAAATGACCTTTGTGCCAAATTTTGAAAAACTGGTTTTCTGCTGGTGCATTATTCAGTGATGCCATCTAGCGGTCATTAGTAGTAGCCCAGGATCAGGTCTGGAAAGACACTAGGTATTGTGTATTGTGTCTGTCATCCTATATATACGCTTCATTACCCATTAAGAAGAAGCTCTTTGACTCCTGTATTAAACCTATCCTACTATGCGGGTCTGAAATATGGGGTTCTTTTAAAAGCCAATTATTTTTTCCTATTGAATCTGTACATCTAAAATTTTGCAAACATTCACTGAATATACCAAAAACAGCTAGTAATTTTGCAGCACGGGCAGAACTAGGGAGGTACCCCATTCACTTGGAGGTCTCCCTGAACGCTATCAAGTTTTTTATTCGACTCCACAAGAACGTACCAGCTGACTCCCTTCAAGCAGACGCCCTCCTATGTCAAATAGACCTAGAAGCTTCAGGTACAAAATGCTGGGCGTCTGGTGTACGTAGAGCTCTAGAGGAATGTGGTTATGCTTTCGTCTTGCAAAATCCCCAATCAATTTTTTCGAACAATTTTTTCCCCTACCATTTCATCAATT